TTATGACATTTGAAGAAAAAAAAACAACCATGTGCTGTGGTGACTTCTGCTTCGAGTGGGCATTTATAGGAACTGTTTAAAAATATGGAAGGATAAATGTTTCATTGTGTACTTTTTGATGGTGAGAATGTGGGTGTTCCTGATATCACACGATTGGGAGTCTGAGGTGTTTTATTACCTGTGGCATTTAAACTGGCGCCTAACCTAGATCTAGTCAAAGATGATTCACTACCTGCAACTTCTTTCAACCCACATGAGTCCTTAAGGTAAAGATTTCACAGAGATTAGATAAAGGCAGAAACTCCACTATGATTTCTTTGTTGCGCTCTCTGAAGATAAAAATATTTTTGTTGCAGATGCTGTTTTCCCTTTTTTTTTGAATTATCATTACAAAATGAGGGCAAACCATAATATGTATTTTACAGTTTCCCTTCCTCAGAGCTAACACTCATAATTGCTTGCTGGTGGGAGACTCATTACGTTATTTTCTAAAAAAAAACGGCAAAAAAGCCAACAAAAAAAGGGAAAGAAGGAAAAGGGAAAATCAAAAAAAAAAAGGTCCCCATCTTCAGCGAGTACGTTTTCCATCTCGGTGCCGCTATCCCACCTACTAGAAAAAACATGCTACGGTAAGGTGTCAAACTCCAAAGCTCATCTGCATAACCCTGGGGCAACATCAACTCCCATGTTTGTTTAGTTCGCTTGCTGAAATGTTCTCATTTGCACTGTCACTTAAGTGTCTTTCCCCTCTTTTTGAAACTAAGAAGGATAACTCACTGTTGCATTTGAAGGCATGTGTGGGTGGTAACCTGGGAATACTCAGTAAAACAAAATATGAAGCTGGAGAAGGACATTCTGAATGCACTGTGAATATATAATAAAGCATATTGAAATCCAAAGTTTCCACCAGCACAAAGTGCAACTCATTGACTATTGGGGGGCTTTGTTAATGATGCTAGTTAAAAGTCTATCCTTGGCTCGGACCCTGACATTAATAGAATAACGTGCAGAAGATCTTAAGTGTGTTAAGCGATCCCGGGAGACGGTGTGTTTGGGGCTCAGCTGCTGAGATGGCTCCTAGCTTCTTCAGTGATTCCATTTTGGGGTTAGCTCATCATCCATCACCGCACACCCCCTTGCGACCCAACTAACCTCATTAATTTGCCTCCCCTAGATTAGCCTTCCCTCTGAGACCACAAGAGCCCCAACCATTGTTTCCGTCTTCACACCCACATGGCCTGGAGGTCTTAAGTAATTCAACTCTCCACTAATCAAAACTGAGGGGGAAATTAAATTATGTTACAGGAGGAACATAAAACACAACAACATGTGGTTTTAAACGGGCGTGCATGTTCTCTGGTGCCCCCCCTTATGATTTATAGTCTTAGGTGATCATTTGCACACAAAATATATCCCACTTGACATATATCCAGGCCATTAGGGTTGAGATAAATGCCTGTAAACGCAGGACACTCTGAAAGCAAACAATACGTAGGTGTGCGCCTCTAAGTTGTCTAATTGTGTCTAATTTAGAGCCAGCTACCATGAATTTCAATATAACACGTAAAGGGCCTGTAAGAGCTACTGTGGTACATTAAGGGAACTAATGTTTCTTTTGGCAATAAGAATATGACGATGATCAGAGAACTGAAATGTCTTTTTCTCATGTGCCCTTCTCTGGAAGGACACTAGACACTAGGAAACGCCTGTCGTCCTGTGGCAATTCTGAAACCAGGACACAGCATAAGGTTTGGGTGACTGCCTGTGGCTCTGCTGTTGAGCTCCCTAATTAAACTATTAATCTCACATCATTAACCTCTGATGCCCCTTTCCTCCCTCTATTCTGACATTGCTGCGCTGGCTTATGAAAACAACTTCCGATAATTCTCTCCAACCTCTAAGATTTGTTCCTCGGGCACTTTATCTTATACATGTTGTCCTCTAACCCTATATGATGCTTTTCGCCGCTGCTTCCTCAGAGTACATTTTGTATTGTTTGCCTCCTCTCTCATTGTGCCTGACTGTATGATGTGTGTGGACCCCAGCTGTGCGCTAACTGCATTACTCTCCAAGTGGCTCTCCAAGGTGGATATGGTTACTTTTAATTAAAAAAGAATCAATTTCTATCCCTGTCAGTTTCTGAACTGGGTGACCATATGGACACTTAAAAACACAATCCAATTTTTGGCCCCCCAGCCCCCCATCTGGTCACCCATCTCCAAACCACTTTGGCATCAGTCCATTGTAGCAAATTTAGAAATCACTCTGTTAAGAGTATTTCATAGGTTTCCTGAGCACATTACATGGATTTAAAGGCTGTTTTAAAGAATAATAAAAAAAAATTCTGCGCCTTGTTAAAGGGAAAGCCTTTGTTTAAAGCCAAAAAGAACAAAAAACTACTGTTTAAATATATAGCATAGATTGCACATGGGATTCCTTTCATTTATGGTCGAGCCATTGTTCAGTAACAATGAAACAATAGTTAAAAGCACTGGTAATCTGCAATTACTCTATTTGCAGTGCAAGGATCATAAATAAGAATCTCGAAGATGCATTGTGGGACAGAGAAAAGTTATTTTAAACTTGGTAATTATGATACAGCTGAAGTAGAGTGACAAGAAAAGGCCTGGACACAAAAGAAGACTCAGCAGTCTTGCCGCACCTCACATGAAAAGCAACCCAAGATTATAACATGAGAAGAGCGAGAGGAGACACATACATCAAAAGCTTATTAAAGCCAATGAAATAACTCACAATGACAGCGCTACAAAAAGATAACCATTACATTTAAGTGCTGGGTATGTGACTTTGAGGCTGACCTTGTGGGCCAGAGGCCTATTGTGTAGAAGGAGGCTGTATAGAGAGCTAGTTGATTAGGCAGAGCTCCCTGGGGATCGATGGGACGTCTGTGATCAGCACTCAGAGTAATCACTCTGTATTGTACGCCTATTCAATGATGCTGTAAGATGAATGATGTCAGAAGGCTATAACACTGATAGGGCTCGTGGAGAGTTTCCTGTACCCGTGCTGCTAAATCATGATGAAATGTGCCATCTTTAAGTGTCACGCCAAACAAATAGTATGGAAACAAATTTTGAAATGTATCAGATAATAAACTATATATATATATTTATATAGATAAAGACTAATGTATGGTTTCTATCCAAGGGTGTGTTCTGACACTGCTGACACATGTTTGCTACGTGTGGTTTCTCTGCCTGCCTAACTTGTTCAAGGGGGAGAGAAAAAAGCATCAGACTGAATCCATGTAATCAGAAACTTGCCATACTCCGCCCATAATATCTGTCTGGTGTCTGCTCTGTAATACAGGAAATCCAAACCCAAAACATCAGGCTCACATAACTGAGTTACATACAAATTATAGGCACAGAAATGCACACAAACCTGCCATTAGTGGGAGGTGTTATTTTTACACCCCCCTCTCACCCCCCAGTGTCTTATTTTAATTCTATGTCTGTTTGCTTTACAGTCTGGATAATAGTAGTCTGGGCCTTTTTCCCATATGTGCTTACACTAAACTACATGCGTATTTAACCCCAGACCACAGTCAGGCTTTTCTGTAAGTTGCTTCATGATGTGTCCCTTATTTGTCTATGAATATATGCACATGTGCCAGCTTGTCACATCAGACTATATTTGTACTTTAAATTAAATGTTTCACACTAAATAAAACTAAGACAGAGACAGGGGTGGGGTAAAAAAAAAAAAATCAAGATTTCGGTTAAACATTAACGCTTTGTTTGAACAGATTAAACACTATTCTGGTTAGCTGTGTATATCTCTGGTGCGTGAAAGAATCAGCACATTTATATACCATCTTAATTTCTTCTATGCCCATGACGTTGCATTTTTTAACTTGATGATCTCGAAAAAGCACATGCTTTTACTTGTGGCATAAACAGCACAAGTATACAACATAATATCACAGTTAACAAGGGTCACGCACGCAAATAGACGTCTGACATTGCACGTCTTTCTCCCTTTTTATAGAAGAGCACTCTGCCAGGTATTCAAAGACCAAATATGAATTTTCTTACAGTTATATATCTTCCAGCAACTCATACTTTTTTAAAATTTGGATCAATTGTCAATGATTTTTTTATTTTGTAGAAGGATACAGTAGTTTTATTTTGGATTGAGCACAACAGCTTCACTCAAGATTCAATTCCATCCAATCAAACTAGAAGCAGAGCAGAGACAGACGTGCCAGACCCCAAGAAAAACAAAAGGCCTGTAAAACTTTTCTGCAAGGTCAAGTTCAGAGCGATGCTGGTCAAATGTAGACACGCCACAAGAGACAAGGATGATAGCACAGAGCCGAGAGGGAAAAGACAAAGGGTACAGAAAAACAAATCCTATTCGAAACATGTTTGAAAGGACAGGGCAGTGGCTGCATTCGGGTGGGGGAACAGGAGGGGTTGGGGTATAATTGAATTACAGTGACCCTATGACAGCACTGTAGGTGAGGTCATGTGTTGAATTAATTTCGTCCCTGACCCCGTCTTTGGCAGGGCGGTGCTTCTTGGCTGCGCCCGAGACCCAAAGGTACAGCTGAGGGGACGTATCTCTTGAAGCGCTTTCTTTGAGCCAAAACTGTCACTCGGATTGACAACCGGGCACAGAGGCCGATGGATCTCCGCTGCCTGCATTGTGTGCTTATTTTTAGTTGAGATGTTAAAGCTCTTTATACTTGGGGACACGCATTAGACAAGCAGCTATTTCTGTTTGCTGGAATCCACTGAAGGCATGAAATGTAAATGGAATCTATATTCTATTTTAAACAAAGCTCTACTCTGCACAGCGTGAGAGCTTGCTCTCCTGATGTATTCAGTTAAAGTGCACCTTTGTTATGTGTTAAATTCCACTTATAGCTACGGCAGTCCTTTTAAATCAAGAGAACGCCTCTAAATGAAGCTCAATGTGTTATTAGACGGTGGGAAAGCCAGGGCAGAACTTCACAGGTACATGAGCATACTTACTGTCTGCTAGAGAAGAGAAGACTATGCAGCTGAGTAAAAGCAGGAACAGCAACGCCCCTCTGGGGAGAAGGGGCCCTGCCAGGTGAATATTAGGCACCATGTTCCAAGTTGGCACTGCTCCCTCCTCGGTCCCCTGCTAGACGCGTCCCACTCTGACAGGATCAAAGACTAACACCTGGGAGAGCAAACACATGCAGAACAGGAGTACAGAACCATTAGTATTCAAACTCACGCTATATTTGCATATATTTGAATGAGCATAATAACACAGTAATGCAGAAATATCAAAAGCAAGTCGCAGAGCAGAACCAAAGACACAGAATCTTTGTAAACTTGTAAGAAAACAACAGCAAACGTTGCTGGAGATCTTTGCTCGCGATCAACAAGGCATCTAATACCCACAACAAATCCTGCTCAGGGCAGGGGGAAGTAAGCAAAGTGAATGTAACACAAAAAGTACATCAGCAAAGGAGTCGGGGGGAACAAATGCTGCACAGTTTTACAGAGAAATTATTGGGAAAAAATAAAAAGAACAAAGGGGAGGTGGAGGCGAGCTTAAGCCTCTCAGCGCACCTCTTACAAAGGGGATCAGTTAAAACCCCAGTGGACCAACTAAACACAACTCCCCAAGGACCACCTTAATGTTCCCCCATTAGGAAATTGAAACGGTGACCAGATGGGTTCGAATCACACAAAGTGCAGTGATCTCATAGAGTGACATGTATGCATACATAAACACTTAACATATAACACACCCCAAGGGGGACATGGCTGACCAACAAGCCAGCGGCAGGTGTGCCACAAATGAACAACAATTAAACGAGACAGAGAGCATTTCTCCTTTGTGTTAAGTGGAAACAGAAAAATCAAAAGCTGTCCCTCAAAGGGAATGGCACAAGAACCGATGCTTTGTCTTTTCAGGAATTAGATTTAGTGAAGGAAGATTACTAAGCCAACTGATTAAGAATTTAGATATATGACCTTAAGTTTGTTACAGCCTCCAGTTTCGATGCCTAATGCTATTATAAACAAAGTAACTGCGTATCTCCATTAATGAGCTAACTAAATTTCTTATCCCTACTCTCTTGCCCATGGCTATCTGCGATGAGTAATCATAATGCTGTAAAAGAGAGCACAATATGGTATAGATAGATATCTCTCTTTTGATGGAATTAAAGCAGAATCTCCAGAGGACTTAAAAAAACTGAATTTAAATGAGAAAAGTTCTGAAAGTTTGACTAAATCAACTTTTGTCTTAAAGAGAGCAGCCTGATGATGATTCTGTACAAAGCTTCTACAAGAAGAACCGAACAGAAAACCCAAAAATCTAAGTCGGTCTTGTTCAGTCTCACTGCTCAGTTCACTGCGGTCGCTACACAGTGCCGTTTGCTGATATGTGTTAAAAGACAAAGAGCTCACAAAGTGGAATATCCAGAGGCTTGCTGGGTGGCCAGTCAGCTCCAGTCTATTCAGTTTAGCTAAATACGTTAGAGCATCAGGAACACAATGCCTCCAGTATCTCGTGGAGGAAAAAAACTCTTAATGCTGTGGGCTCTAATCCTGTGGAGGTGTTGAGCAGCCCATTACTCATGTGGCTGTTTCAATGCGGGTAGAAACAAATTTTAAAAAAAAAAAAATGCACACAACGGGCAACTCTTTGACCGCCCTCTTTGTTAAACAAGGCAGCTGAAAACAGTCTATACAATAGCTATTAGATAAAGTTATTTTTCTTTATCTGAGATCTGCTTTCACCTCCTTTGACATGTCACTGGGCAAACAAAAAAGCAGGCACGACCGAGTTAAAGCTATGTGAAGGAATGCACGCGAGTCCCCGCTCATGCCTCACCTGGCCACAGTAGCAGACAGCCATCACTGACAGCTAGCTCTTTATCACCGTTTGTCACTTAAAGGAATGTTCCTCTAGGCTTTTATGTCTACAAAGCCAATCTTTTTTTTTTTTTATTCTTAACAAACTTGGCGTCTAAGGAATTTCCAAACACCGTGTACAGTCGACATCATCTATCGTCAGTGAAAGTTCAAGCTGTGATCGTATCAAACTGTATTATACTCCTCCCTGCACGCAGAGTTTTGGAGAATGCCCACAAGTGCAGCGGAAATCATTTAAAACCCCTGTGGCAAAATAATTTCAAAAAGAAGCCTCCCTCTGCGCCTTTCACCTTAACTGGTAATGAGAAAGCGGTTTATTGTCGCTGTGTTGTCGCTGTGTGTTGCAGTGTGGGGAAGAAAAAGATACACAAACACTCGGCTCGGGGTGCCAAAGAACTGGATCGCACCACCACTCTGTAACTGGTATTAAAGACATTTAGAACCCGTTTTTATTTCAAGTTAATACCTCAAGTTAGCTTTGCAAAAAGAAAAAAGTTTGTTGGCCGACAAATTTGTTTTGACGTTCGTTTCTGTGTACACCAGTGCTGCGCTGGTTTACGTTGGTGGGTAGAGAAAGAGCGAGGCTGATAGAGCTGGCTACTTGCCGTGCTCCAAACCCTTAGCGGTGGAGGGATATCTTTCGCAGCAGATGCCAGAGAGAGGCAGATGCTTTTCATCTTCAATGAGACAAATTCCTAGAGCGAGGTTTATTCTTTATTTATTTACCTACTTATTTATCCCAGTGTAGCCCGGTCCCTCCCTGCTGCACACGAATACTACGGGACAACACTTGCCACTGTGTCCCATTTGTGTTCTGGCAGTAGTGCAAACGAGAGGAGGACAGAGCACCAAAGTGGAAAGGGTGCAGTGTGATTCGAAATCTGAGCAAGTGGCTCGGCACACAAGGGGGCATTGTTTGCGAGGACGTGGGAGAGCGCGAGAAAAACAGTAGAAACATTTAGGGGTGGCTGTCTGCCCCCGTGCAACTGGATATGAATCCTTCTGTCTCGCTAATGATTTCACCCCAAAGCCTGATTTGTGTGCGCGAAAGAGTGACAAAGTAACCAGTGCATATTTACTGCTTAACTGATCGTCCAGATCATTTCAGCAGAAAGACGATAATTAATGTTCACAATAATTAGTCGGCTAAATTGAGGAGATAAACCGTTTTACAGCAACAACAATTAATCCAGTTTGAAAAGGAAGTGCACAAACAAAGCTGATTCTTCATGAATTACAATGTGAAAACATGCATCGCAGTTCTGCATATTTTAGATCTGTCAAGATTCATTTTCTAGCTAACAATATTTGGTTTGACATGTCCTACTTATATACATATATATATATTGGTTTAAACCAAACATGCGCCGCTGTCGAGTTAAAGAAGTTTATAATGAACAGAATTTCTACTGTAGGCAAGTTTATGGAAACACAATTAGCAAACCACCCATGACAAGGTGTCCAGATTCAGGGAAATAATAAATGCGGCAAAGCCATAGATTTGTTTGTGTCCTCCACCTCATTATCACTTCTAACACACACACACACACATTTTTTTAATAAACTAAGGGGAGGCCAGGATTAATAAATTCCAGTCTCAAATTTCCTAGACTGGTAAACTGCTGTTAAAGTGCAGACATTCTCAACAAACCCAGAGTTTTTCTTTCTTTCTTTTTTTTAATTTACTCCACATAGTTTGAGATGTAAGTAATGATTCGGAGGCCCGCAGCTAGGCGAAACACAATTTATGGTGCGACTGTGGTTCTCTCCAATTTGTCAAAATGCCAAGACCACGCATCCTATAGGGAGGTGATTCTGCAAGAATGGCAGTTTGTTGAAACACAAAGGGAACATGAAAGAGAAGAATCAGTTATTGAACTGATGAAGCAGAAATGAGCCTAAATATAATGCTCCCATTCAACAGGGCATACAGTGACTTACTTCTTACGGAAGAAGCTTTTTGAGCCAAAGTGTCTGTGGAGCTACCACAGAGCTATATACGATACAATAGGCAGAAGAGTAAGCGGTTTAGTGATGCAATTAACAAAGAAACAATGGCAGGGTAATATCTAAAATAGTAAACTGTAGAGGACAAAAGAGCTTTGAGTGAGCTCAAAAGGAAGGGGAATATAGACACTTAACAGACACCTATCCCGGTTGCCTTGTTTGTCGTCCACGCAAATTGCTTGTCATTTAGGTTATTAGTCCCTGTGAATGTGTGTGGCAAGGGTGTGGCCACCCATACAGAAATGTCAGTTGGCAGACAGACAATGCAGCTGCACACAGAGAGAGCGCGCAGCCTGAGTAAACACTACTATTACGCTAACTACAGGTAGCATTTCTGCTCTCCAATGTCTCTTACCCTCCTACTCATGTTCTCTATTTCTCCGTCTCTATTTAATGGGTCATCCTGAACGCTGGGAGGTGGGACAGCTGAGATATATGGCTAGCAGCGTGGGGAGCTAATCACGGCCGTCTCTGGGGCTGATAAACCCAGACCAAAGAGGTTTGTGTTGGCGTAGCCTGCAAAGGCTCCATAAACACAGTTACAAGCTGAATTTCAACAGCGGTGTTTTGGCCGTTGATTAGTTTTCCATGCACTAGAAGGCTCACACTCCCCCCCCCCCTTTTTTTTTTTAAACCTCAGCAGTGAACACAATATCACAACACCTGTGAGAATTACTCCAAGATGGTGAGCACCATATTGTAAAATGAAAGTGCAAAGTAACCAAATTAGGTTTTCCCTCCGACTCGAAAAGCCTTGCTGCGTCTACGGACTTGATGGTGCACGTCCTTTTTACAGAGCTGCAACAAGACTGCACTGAAATTCCCCCTAACAAAGGGTAATGTCCTGTGACCTATCGAATTTTACAGCCATTCTGTTTACAAGCTGATACCACAAAGTTAATTGTTAACACATTATTGCCGAGCTCAAGATTGCAAGACTAAAACACACCTACAACAGACTTGTGCACTTAAGTTGAGCAATAGAAACGATGGCGCACTGATTATGCTGACCTACAATGAAAGCATGTGTAATAAATCACATGATAAAGGTGTCTTTCTGTCTATAAGTTCATTTAGCACTGTTTAATAATGAGGCAATATAGGAGATGTGTAAATTTTAAGTCGACATTTACGCACAGTCTCCATGATGCGTTTTGGCGTCATTTGTGACGCATGAGGGGCGGACGTGATGCATCACGCTACTGTTATCGTCTAACGCAAGCGCCAACTTGCCTCTCAGCAGAATACAAACACCACTGCATATAGGCTTTTCCCATATGA